CTAACTCTAGACGTTAAGCAGCTACATACTAATTCTCAAAATCCATTTAAATTACCTGAGATTTGGTTGATGACATTACAGAGCACCTTGGGGACTTAAACATATCCAAGTTTTCTAGAAAATCCTTACCCGTGTGAGCACACATCAAGCATGAGCTAAGGCATCAAAACACCTCTCAGCTTTGCTGTGTGATTTTTGACTCAAGTGTGATTTCTTCCCTCAAAGGCAGAGCCCACACCAAGATGGCTCAGAGGAGAAATTTTTCAGAAGTTTAAAATGAAAACAGAACCTCAATTTCATTCCACCAAAAACAAGTCACCCAGTTGACATTTATGTCTTTGACACAGCTCAGAAACCACCCCGGGACTGAAGAGCAGTGTCAACCTGCAACGCAGAGCCTTTGCCGACTTGGATCTTGTTGCCGTCCCGGTTACCCAATCAAGTGTGTTCATCTAGATCGTCTTCTTTAGAAAACCTTTTTTTCTTTTTAAGACTTATTTATGCATACAAGAGCTGGGGTACAGGCCAGAGGTGTGGGGGGTGAGAGGATTCACCAGAGACAGAGTGGGGAGCAGAACAGGCAAACAGATTGAAGGCACTGCCGAGGGGAGCAGTGGGGAGATAGGAGAGATCTGCCGCACCATGTGGGAATCTCCCTGGCTGACCAGGAATCAAACCCATGCTGCAGAGGCTGCGGAGAGCTGCACAGTGCTGTGCTGAACCATCTGTGCCACTGGGAAGACCCTAGATCTTTTTCTTTTCCTTCTCAAAACTCAACCACAAGGAATATCTGTCCAACGTGGGGCAGGCAGGGCACAGCTGCAGCGCCGGCACGTAAACACTGTGGCCCACAATTCACACGCTGGCATTACAACGTGGGTGCAGGATCCCAGGGCAATGGCTCACACCCCCTAAGGGTGGATTCTGACTGGCAGGATGGGGCCAGAATCACCTCAGAAAACAAAGGCAGGAGAGTGAGGCATTAGCATCCTAAGTCAACATGCATGACCTCCCACTTCTGTACTCTGACTAACCATCTTTTCCTTCCTGAGGTTTTTTTTTTTTTTTTAAAGATTTATTTTTTTAATTTATACAAGAACTAGGGTACAGGCCAGAGGTAAGGGGGGTGAGAGGATTTACCAGAGACAGATTGGGGAGCAGAACAGGCAGACGGACTGAAGACACTGCTGAGGAGAGCAGTGGGCGAGGCAGGAGAGGTCTGCCGTGCCATGTGGGAATCTCCCTGGCCAGCTGGGAATTGAACCAGCACTGTAGAGGCTGTGGACAGCTTCACAGAGCACTCAACCCACTGCACCACCGCGGAGGCCCTCCTTTTTGAGATTTTTAGAAAGACAGGAGTGGTAACCAGATGTTTCTGTGGCCAGTGTTAGCTCCCACCTTCCTACTGGCCCACTAACTTTTGGTTGCTTTAGAAAACTGACCTCTCAGGTATGACTACTCCCTGAGAAACCACCTGGAGCATCATAGATGACAGCTTGACCAGGGGACCCTGGGCTAAGCATCCATCCCTGGCCTCCGGAAACTCAGTCACCTCACCGGGCCTGTCCTGTAGCTGACCCTGACCCCTCCCCACTGTCCGCCACCAGCTGTCTCCAAGAAAAAGCAAAACAAAGGCAGGTGCTGCCTCGACAGGCGAGCAGAGAGGCCGCTGCATGGGGAGGACACGCAGCAAGTGCTGAGGACAAGCTGGCCTCTGCCAGATCTGGACGAGGCCTCTGGAAAGGGCAGAACAATAGCGAGGGGCACTTCTCACTGACAGGCTTGGGATTTTGAAGGAATGTGTACTCATCCGCATCGGTGAAATAAACTGTTTGAAATTATAGCCAAAAAGGAAAACTCTGGAAAAACATCAGCTGAATATTAATAGTCTTGACTATGGTGGACGGACTTGAGCGCGAGACCCGGGCCAGGGGCTGTGCTGGGCAGACACCAGGCCCACCTGTCACCTCCCTAAGGCCCCTGGGGTGGCGCAAGCCTCAGTGTTTACCCTCCACACAAAGAAACTGGAAATGAGTGGGACCGCCCCTTATATGCAGCAAAAATGCAAGAGAAAATGTAAACAAAGAATGTTTTATTATTAACTATTGATTTATTCTAACAGTTACAATTAAATGAAAGGAATAAAAAATGTGTTTCAATGTCCTTAATTAAGGACATAATTTTAAGATAATACTAAAATTAACAGCATAAGGGTGTGTGTGGTATGTGTGTGTGATGTGTGGTGTGGCGTGTGTGATGTGTGTGGTGTGTATGATGTGGTGTGGGTGTGTGGTGTGTGATGTGTGTGGGGGTGTGTGTACGGTATGGTGTGCGTGTGGGGTGTGATGTGTGGGGTCTGTGATGTGTGGGGTGTGATGTGTGGGGTGTGTGGTGTGTGGCATGTGCTTGGTGTATGTGGTGCGTGTGATGTGTGATATGTATGGTGCGTGTGGTGTGTGTGGTGTGTGTGGTGTGTGGCATGTGTGTGGTGTATGTGGTATGTGATGTATGTGTGGTATGTGTGGTGTGTGTGATGTGAGTGGTGCATGTGGTGTGTGTGGTGTACATGTGGTGTATGTGGTGCAAGTGGTGTGTGCGTTGTGTGGTGTGTATAGGCTACATACCCCCAGCCCAGGTACCCCCTGGAGGAAGCTTCCAGAGAGTCTTGACTTCCATGGAGTGGGGGCCCACGTCTCTCTTCCCACCACTCCCGGCCAAGCATCCTGAGACCCCCAAATTCCACCATTTTGCACTTGGGGATCACAACGTCCCTGTCTGTGAACAACCCCCTCTCCTAGTCCATGCCACCCATATCCACACCGAAGTCAAGGTTCTCACCCCAACCAGGTGCGCTGCATGCCCTCCCCAAAACCTGTTGGTGATGAGAACTTCACAGGAAGCCGGGGGGTGGGGAGGGTCAGGACTTACAATCATTGCAACAGCCCCACCCCCAATCGAATTGTCCCCCCACCCGCTGAATCTGCCCTGGGCTGGCACTACAACCTACAACCTCTTCTCAGTGCTATACTACGCTTGGAAGGTCAGCCCCTCACCACCTGCAGGGCAACCATCCTCACAGACACCCCAAATTCAGCACAATCAGAGAAAGTTGCCCCCACACTCACCTCTCTACTGCACCCCAACCTAATTAGGAACCTGACTCCCCACTCAGTGCCCACGTTGAATCACTCACCAGAGGGTCTGTGAGCCCCCTTCAACCTGCGAGGCCCTTGGCCCTAGTCTCCGACCTCCTCACCATCTGTCCAACAGCCCTCCTGCCCATGGCAGCCCCCCCCTCCGCCCTGTTACAGTAAAGAAACTCTCAAAGTCTTGCACCTCAAGGTGGCCCAGAACAGCTGGTGGTGGGGGCAGCTCCCGGGGCAGCCCACATTGGAGCCAGCCTCCCACACGCTCCGCAGGGAACTGACCACTGGACCCCGACTCAGGCCACGCTGGCTGCCTCCTCCCACTGCGGCCCTGCAGACATCCGCAGGCTGCACCAGCCCCATGCCCAGGGCCTAGGACAGTACAGCAAAGGCTCCCAACAAATGCCTGTGACACCACTGGTGAGTCAAACTTTGGGGGGCCTCAGAGCCACCTGCCAGGGTCAACTCAGATCCCTGGGGTGGAGGGAGCACAGGTAGGCTTGGCTAGGCGGGAATCTGGTTTCAGGGAGCTCACAGCAATTACATTCCAGGACCCGGCCCCAGCGAGCGGCTGTCCTGCAGCATCTGTCCAGCAGGGGGCGCCCCCCATGGCCTCTAGTCCAGACGCGTGCAGCTTCACACACCCAGCCCTTGCAGGGACCAGACCACAAACGGGCGCAAACATAACTTTCTCACGCGCAGGGAACTCAGACACCCATGTGCTGTGTCAGCTCCACATGAGCTCACCGTGCGCTCAGGGCTCACATCATGGGACACAGCTCAGGGTTTAGGGCGTGGGCCTGGGAAGCAGCAGCGGAGGCA